CTAAGAATGGTTTATACATTTTTAAATCATTACATTTTAAATGGTTACAAATGTACCTGCATAATAGCCTCTATTTTGCCACTTGGCCCACAAAGTATAAAATATGTACTGTCTGGCTCTTTAAAAAAAAAGTTTGCTGACCCCTGACTAAAGAACTTTCATCATAATAATTGGAAGAACTGTCTAAATTATAGCAAAATCTGAGTTTTAGAATATTTTTAAAGAAATATACTTTATTTCTTTGGCATATATATGGTCCAGAAGGAGATGTTGCCAATATGATTGATTCATGGGTGGGCAGTAGTAACTCAGTCAGTCTGTGTATGGCGTTGCCTTGACTACAGAGCTTGGTTCTGGTTGTTCAGAGTGAAATGTAGGATTCTTGTCAATGATTGGGAAGAGAAGACCTTGCATTTTCTCTGAAATGTGTGGGCTGCAGATGAGAGGCCTGGGCATGCCATACCCATTTTACTTTCTTGGGTACTCCGACCTGATTACAGATGGAACCATAGGAAGGGCAGAGCTGAGAGAATTGCAGAAAGATGGAATCAAAGCCCTGATCACACCACACCTAAAACCCACCCTAGTGCTTGACTTTTGGGTTATATGAGCCAGTAAATTCCATTTATTGTTTAAGTCAGTTAGAATTAGGTTTTTGTTATTTGTAGATGAAGATAGCCTAACTAATAAAATGGTGTTATTCTGCCTCTAAAAAGAATTTCACAGAAGAGCTTTAAGGAATAATTTCTGGAATTGTTTTATTCTTGGTACATCAAAAATAATCGTAAAAAATTTTAATTATGGTCTTTAACAACATGGCACAGGAAGCTAGGAAGAAGAACAATTATACTGGATGACTGAATCAAGACGCGAAAAGATCTGATAGGCAGGAGTCCTTTGGCAAATATAACACTGTGAAATTTAATAAGGATGGGTCCAACATGGATGGGGGAATTCTGCCTTAGCTGCTTATGTAAGAAAAGACAAGAATTGACCAACGCTGTGATGTGGCCACCAAAACCACTAATGTAGTTTTAGTCTGCATCCTTTAGAATATCTTTTCTTTGCTCCTCAGGCCATATCTTTAGCTCAGTGCTGGGTTCCAGATTTTAAAAGGGATCCAGACAAACTGACACTCATTCAGTGTAACTGAACAGGCTGGGAAAGAGATTTGAAACCGTATCATATGAGGAAAAGTCTTAAAGGGACTGGAGAAATTTGTTAATGACATTAATGATGACAGCCATGATAATAGTAAACACTTATTGAGTACTTACTGTGCCTGGGACTGTGCTAAGCAATTTCACATTATATCACTTAATCCTCACAATAGCCTTACATTGAGGGATACTATTATTTACCACCCCCTCATATATAGATAAGGAAACCAAAGCTTGGGTGAATATCTTACCTGAGGTCACACAGCTAATAAGTGGTAGAACCATGGAATTTAAATCAGAGGAGATGACTTTAAGTGGTGAACTCAACATATTTAAATATTTGAAGGATTGTCAAGAAGAAGGATAAAGATTTGTTTCATGTGTCTCCGATTAGTAGAATCAAGACCAATGGGTAGAAGTTACAGGGAGACAGATTTCCACTGAGCATAAGGTGATCCATTCTTCTCTTCTTTAGCAAGGAGGGGGTTTTCTTTTCTTGATGCCGCTCTCCGCACCTCACTCTTCTGTGGGATTTCAGCTGTACTGCTCCATGGAAGCCTTGTAAGGCTTACCCTGGCCAGACTGGACAGTTGTCCCTCACTCCTCGTCTTCTTTGACTGTTAATCATGCTCTCTTTCTCCACATGCTTGGACTGCATGAGAGCATATTTTATTTCTCTTTTTCCTTTGGACTGCTTTTCTCCTTTCTGTCTTTTACCCATGAGTATCCGATAAGGCTTTGCCCCGAGATTCCGGGCTTTGAGCCACTCTTCTAATGACTCTGGTCCCTATGTACCTCTTTGATCCTGAACAGAGCTCTTCCGATTTCCACACCGCCATAGCCGATGTTCCATTTTTCATCAGAAACGCAGGATGGCAGGACTCAGACTTGCTTTACCCCTCAAACTGTTCTACTCCCCAACCTCCCCATTTCTCTTGACGGCAACCCTGCTATCCTGTTCCTCCAGGTCTACCTTCTGTTCTATCTTCTGCCTGAAATCACCCACCAAATCCCATCAACTTTTCATTTATAGGATCTCTTGAATTTGTTCCTCCTTCATTTCCACTGTCACCCTCAAAGGATTAGTCCTGGTTACCTCTCCCCAAGTCTCCTAAATACTCTTGTCACTGTGTAACTCTACATCTCCCCACTTCTTGTATAAGAACCTATGACAGCTCCTCATTGCCCATCTAATTGGGTCCATTGACTCAACCCAGAGTTTCAGGCAGCTGTTCCCAATTCCTCCCGGCAGAAATCTTCTATTCTGTCTTGCTGGCCCAGTGCAATTATCCCCTGCCCTGAGTCCCAGGCTCCTCATGCCCCTCTTTACCTTCACTCATGCTGCTCCCCTCCTGAGAGGAGTCTTGTCATTTGCAGATTCAACTTCCCATTCTTATAAGGCCCACTTTGTGGTCCACTTCTCCCTCTCAGTAATCACTGCCTTTTCAGCATCCCTCTAGTGCTTGTACCCTGCTAAATTTCATATTCTAGTACTTGATTAGAAACTCCATTGGAACTTTACAATTAAAAAAAAAACTTCCTTAGTTTCTCAAAGTAGATTTTGAACTTTTTCAGGGCAACACCTTATATGTCACAACAACATCCAGCACTGGACTGCTTGGACAGGTGCTGGTTGACTCGGAAGTAAAGAGAAAAATAATATTGACTATTTATAAAGTTCTTCAAGTGTACCAATCACTGGACTGAGTAGAGGCAGTGGCCTCATTTTAGGATAAGGAAACCAAGGCTGGGAGTTTAAGTAACTTGCCCAAGGTCACATCGCTGGTAAGTGTTGGACCCAAGATTGGAACCCAAGTAGTTTGGGTCCAGCACCTGCACGCTCACCACTGCACCGTGATGGTCATGTAGAGCGTCAGTCAGTCCCAATCCCGTGCTCTTCTTGAGAGCCAGTAGTACCCAGCACTGTCGAGTGTTTGTATGCGATAAGAAGGACCCTTCTTTATTTTTCCCTCAGAAATGGAGGTACACAAATGTGGCATTTCAGGAGGCAACCTCATCACTGGCCATGTCCTCAGGGACGGTGGAAGGCCATTAGTTGAAAACTATCTTGCTTGATTTCAATAGCTGTTTAGGACAATGATGAAAAGAAGGCCTTGCCTCTATTGTCTTAGAACTTTCTTGTTATTTCTAGGAGTGATAAATATGGGAACTTTCTTGGCCTCACACCCTGCCATGCCTTTTGGTATTTTACCTTTTCATGGGGTTGATTTCCTTTATTTCTGTCTTCTTTGGGATCTGCTTCATTTGTATCTCAACTCTGAGAGCGTTGATAATGAGGATCCCATCCCCATTTCTTTGTTTCACTGGCTAGGACATCTTGCTACCAGATCTATGTTTCCACTATATATTAAAATGAAGCAATTGTTTCAGAGTATTAAATAATTAGACATTTTTTTTTGGAAGATTAACTTATCTGTTCTCTATGTGTGATAAAAAGAAGTGTAAAAAAAAAAAGGACATCTTTATGGAAAAAGTAATATTTGGAGAAGCTAATCCTTGGGGCAGTAGTAGAGGCCAAGAGCCGAGACACAGCACTGAACATTCACTGGGGATCTCACTACACAGGAAGCAGGAGCAACCGACACACATACGGATGTTCATGGCTGACGCTGGCCACGTGCATATGCATTCTTTATGATTTTTGTCAATATTATGTTTGGTGGCAAAAATGAAATTTTGTTGAAAACTTACACTATTATTCTCTCTGTGTTTTTTACCTTGGAATTTTGTACAAATATTTAAAAGCAAGTACTTTTAAGTATCAGCTCTAGCTAAAGAGAAGTTATATACTGCATAGACCATTTCTACATTAAATATAACCTTTAAACAACCCAGGTATGGGGCCGGTCCCGTGGCTTAGCGGTTAAGTGCACGCGCTCTGCTACTGGCCGCCCGGGTTCGGATCCCGGGCGTGCACCGATGCACCACTTCTCCGGCCATGCTGAGGCCACGTCCCACATACAGCAACTAGCAGGATGTGCAACTATGACATACAACTATCTACTGGGGCTTTGGGGGAAAAAAGGAGGAGGATTGGCAATAGATGTTAGCTCAGAGCCAGTCTTCCTCAGCAAAAAGAGGGGGATTAGCATGGATGTTAGCTCAGGGCTGATCTTCCTCACACACACACAAAAAAAGGTGATATTTAAAAAAAAAAAAAAAGAAACCCAGGTATGTAATCCTGCTATTGGCCAAGCCACCTCTCTCTTATTTGGAAGACAAAATATTTGTCATCTGGGGACTACATAGATTTACCTTCAATTTTTTAGCATTTAAGATATTTCTAAAAACATTTTCAGAGAACATTAATTTAATTTAAAAAAATGGAAACAGGACACACTGTGATGTAGTAGAAAGAGCAATGAATTGGAAATTACAAGACCTAGGTTCCAGATCTGACCCTGCTGTGTGAAAAGAAACAGTTTTCTTGGAGACAGAGAGAAAGAATCGCCCAGCTCCTAAATGCTAGGCTTTTGTGATTCAAGCTAACAGAGTTCTTTCTTATTGTAACAGTGACCTCTTGTGGTACATATCCTTAATCAATTTTTTGATTTGCAAAGTAAACTTTGGATTTTTTGTCGTCATTGTTTCTAGTAACTGTATTTCATATTGTTAAGCAAATCTGACTTGTTTTGAAAGATAAATCTTAGTTGGAAATCAGAGGTTGATTAAAATGGGATATAGAGCACCAAACCTCATTTCATAAACAATTCTCTGTGATCTCTTCAGAAACTGTGGATAGCCGACTCGTGAGACTCACAGAAAGAGGAATGCTTTATTTTTTGTGCTGAGTGTTGTGTGTATTCCTCTTCCTCCTAGGGACCAGGGGAAAAGGCGTGGGAGGGCCTCATCATGCCCCGACAGTTCGGACCTGAGCAGGCTGGAAACCAAAGCAGGTGAGGAGCTTGTGTTCTTAGAGCCCCCAACTCTCCTTCATCTGCAGCTTCGCCATTCGTAGGAAAAACGTCTGCGTGGAGATGTCTGAAGTTGGCTCACTGTTTGAAAATTCCAGGAAATTTGTCCAACTTGGTCACACATCAACATTTATTTTTATTATTTTCACAAGTCTTACTATTCTTACCTACTCAGCTCAAACATCTATAGATTACGATCTTAATGATTGTACAGAACTTATTTTGTAAAAGCATTTGGAAAGTTGCAAAATTTGACATCAACGTAGTTCTTGAGTTCAAAATTGTTACTCACTTAAGTGAAACTTTATTAGCTATATGAAGACAGTTTGAGTCTTTAAACTGTTTAATTGAGAAAAATATAACAATATAAATCACAGGCTAGAAATGATACAAAAGGTATTTGTGCAATGGAATATAGCAGTTAGAGAAATAAACTAGAGTACATTTATAATATTGAATAATATTGAATAAAATGAGTACAAACAACATGAAACAATGAAATTGCAAAAACAATGACATACGTTGTTTATGGATACAGATCTATGTGGTAAAATTGTAAAGTCAAGCAAGATAAAAATAACGACTTGATTTAGAACGGTGGTAACCCTTGGAGGGGGAGGAGGAGGGAATAGTTGGGGGGAGGCATACAGAGGGCATCAACTATATCCGTATTGTTTTGTTTCTTTAAAATAAGAAGGAGGATGAAAATATGGTTAATTATGGACCAAACTAATTGTGGGTACACAGGTGTTTGTTGCGGTCTTTGTGCTTTTTTTGTACACATGAAATTTTTATGAAACCAAACTAATATTAGGTTCAAAAATATTTTATTATCTTTAAAACTAATTTCTTATCAATAAAATGACTTTGTGGCCAATGGGAATTTCTATAGTACTCAGGAAAATCTTAGATGAGCTGATTTCCTTGTCAGCATTGTTGCTAAGGATCTTACATTTACGTGCTAAAAACATCAGCCAATAGACATTGTGTCAAGTTTCTGTGTCCAGAATTCAAAGCTGTGGTTAAGAAAGATAACCACTGAGACAGCAAAATCTTGAAAAACATGCTGAAATTTCTGCTTGACTTACCCAATTTCCTGTTGAATCATAATTTTTATTTTTAGCAAACTGTGAACCTAGATGAAAGTGCTTTCTAAAATATCAGGTTGTTGCCCAAGACTGAGACAAACTTTATTTGTTTATTTTTTTGTGGATCTTAAAAGGTAATCACATGGTTCCATGCTTCAGTTTCTAGAATAGAAACTGGCTTGGTATATAAAATGGGATTTTTGTGGCGAGCAGAGTTGGAGGAGGTGTGTGAGGGGTAAAGATGTGGAGAGGCCGTAGCTGGACACAACTGCTCACACAAGGATTCCTAAGAGAGAGTTGAAAGCAAATGCTTATTCCGTGGTGTCTGGCTAACTTCTGTTCTGAGAAGAAACAAATCTTAGGAACATTCAGAAGGGCCTGGAAGAGCCTTTCCTTTCCAAATGTTAAATCAACTGTTCTGTGATTTCTGGCTCACCCCTGTAATTCAACTTTTCCTGGGGTGAATATCTTATCAATTTTTTTTTTGTCCTGAGAAAGGAGCTGATAATCATGGTTTCTCATAGAGCTGTTCCATTAAAGAGCATATTGCATAGAAGGTAAAAATGCTGATTTGAACTTAGTAGACGTGAAGTCTGTATTTCTAATAAAGTTAAGTGTGTAATAAATATTTGTTGATTAAATTATTTGTCTGACTTATTATCTTCTGGCTTTTCACTTAACTTCATGTATGTCAATTTTTATTCACATACTTTGGACTTTGACTATGTCAGATACCTGGGAAGTTAAACAACTGTGTTTTTTTATACTTTTTGAATATTCATGTTTACTTTTAGAATCCATGTCCCCAATTTATCAAAGTTAGGGCAGACTCGTAAAAGTAAAAGTAATGATCCAAGAGATTGAGATGGTGGTCTACAATCGTTTATCTGTGGTTCTGAAATCTCAAAAGCTCTGAAAACTAAAATATTTTTCAAACTCATTTAGCAGCAATGCCTGATCTGAACCAATGGGAGGGCAATTATAGTCTCTGTTTTGTTGGTGTAAATATTCCCCTATTTTGCTGCAGGGTGCTGCCCAGGAGGACCCTGGTGTGGGTGGTATGGAATATGCAGTATATGCACCATATTTCTTGAGTAAAATTCAGAATTTTCTGAATCTCAAACCACATCTGATCCTGAAGGCTTTGGATAAGGGGTTGTGAACCCATACAGATATGGACTGGTTTTGTCCTAAAGACAATTCAACTATGTGTTTTATGGTGAATTCTTGCTTTGGCTTAGACAGATTATGTGAAAACTTGCTTTTAAAACTATTGACCACGCCTAAACTGTTTAATTACAGCTTGGCTGACAACCCCATTTTATTTACTTTTGCTGCTGAAGTGCTTTTCCTGCCCAGCACGCATGGGCCCCTCCTGGTCTTAGGAAGGTTTGATGGAAGACAAGCCTAGACTTGCTGCCCCTGGGAGTGGCTATGTGCAGCATGGCGTGCGTTAGGGGAGGGCCTGGGTATGGGGTGGGGTGGGTAAATTGTAGGGCTTTCCTGCTTCTCCTGGGTGACATCATGACTGCGTGCTTGGGAAATTTAATATGTGTTTATGTTTTTTTCTCTTCAAGAGTAACGCAAGAACATTAGAGCTTTGGAAAATACAAAGGAGCGCATGAAAGACATTAATAGCCCATAATCCCAATACTAGGAGATGACCACAGTTACCCCATTTTACAGAGGAAAGCAAAGCACCTTGCCCAAAGTCAACCAGCTAGTAGGTGGCAGAGCCAGGATTCAAACCCAGATGGCGACTCTGGAATTGTGCTCCTCACAGGCCTCCCTGGGCAGCTTGTCCTTTTTAGTTAAAACAACCTAAAAATATACAGGCCACACACCCTTCCGCTGTGCACCGCTTGCTCTCTCTCTCTCTGTGGAACCCTCTGATTGCCCCTATGATTTCTAACTCTTCGTGTGACATTTTTAGGGTCCAGGCACCCACCCTGTGGATACTTACTTGGTACCAGGGCACAGAGAGGGCACGGAGTCCTTGAACCAGTACAGAGTGGGTGCCAGGGGACGGCCTCATGGGAGCCACTTCAGAGAAGGGTGGCTGGGGATTAGGTTTCTGGTGCTGCTCCTGAGGAGCTCCCACCAGCGGGGCCCCCAGCTATCCCGTCAGTGCTTTAGACCCTGAGGTATTGGCTTCATGATTGACAGTTTCTAATATGGTTTATATTCCCACCCATGTTACCTTGCAGTCTGGGGCAAAATAGCATAGAGGTCAAGGACAAGGGCTGTGGAGCTATATGACCTTGGGCAGGTACTTAGTACTCCTGAGCCCCACTTTCTTTTTTTTTTTTTTTTGGGATTATTTCTTTTTTTTTAAATTTTATTTATTTATTTATTTTTCCCCCCAAAGCCCCAGTAGGTAGTTGTATGTCATGGTTGCACATCCTCCTAGTTGCTGTATGTGGGACACGGACTTAGCATGGGGGGAGAAGCGGTGCGTCAGTGCGCGCCCGGGATCAGAACCCGGGCCACCAGCAGCAGAGCGCACGCACTTAACCGCTAAGCCACGGGGCCGGCCCTGAGCCCCACTTTCTTCATCTGGAACATGGGGACAGTTTGGGGACCTCCTCATAGGACCTAAGGGACCTCCTCCTCTAGACTGTGCATCTTAAGCACACAGTCAGTGGTAGCTCTTCCTCTTCTACAACCCACGTTCACCGGCAGCATGGACTCTTGATGAGTCGGTAGTTACCATACAGCCTGATACACTTCAGACAGTGATGACCTGTTTGTTTTTCAATCAGGAAAATGAAAGTCATATTAATTGAGTGTTGTGAGATGCTGGGCACTGGGCTCAGAGCTTTACCTATATCATGTCTTTGAATTCTCATAACCCTGAAGGCAAATATTCTAATCTCTGTTTTACTGATGAGGCTCATAAAGGATCAGAAACCAGCCCCCAGTCACCCAGTGCGTCAATAATAAAGCTGGGATTTGAATTGAGATCTGTCAGCGCCCCATGCGCAGCCTTTTCCCACTACCCCAGCGAGAATCACTTGATGTTAATGGTGCTGGCCCCACGATGATGTGTGCATTTTATTTTCTATGGGAAAGACAGTCCCTGTAGGCCTCCCTCTTAGAAAATTTTTCGTTAAACATTTTCAAAATCCTTGTTCTTTCCATAGCTATAGTTCTCTATTTATTCCACATCACAGAGAGATAAGTTGAAGTAAAAAATAACTCAAAACTTTGCCTTACTGACAGTAATTTCAACATTTACAAAGCATAAGACTTGCAGGAGCTGGTCCCGTGGCGTAGTGGTTAAGTGTGCACGCTCTGCTTCCGCGGTATGGGGTTCGCAGGTTCAGATCCCGGGCGAGCACCGATGCATCACTTGTCAAGCCATGCTGTGGCGGCGTCCCATATAAAGTAGAGGAAGATGGGCACGGATGTTATCCCAGGGCCAATCTTCCTCATGAAAAAAAAAAAAAAAGACTTCATGCAGTGTCCCAATCAGAGTTTAAAATTGTAATTTTTTTACATTATTTTATCTGAGTTTAATTTGGGGTGATTTGGTTAGAAGACATGTAGTTGTAATTAGAATTAGTTGGGCTTGGGGGCAAAGTGTAATTTAATTCTAGAGTTTATTAATTTCAGCCAAGACTTGTGTCAGCTCTCCAGTTACAATTCCTTTCTCATGGCTCTTTCTCCTGCTCTGGATTTCTTTTGCAGTCTCTAAAGCCGACTTGCAAGAAAAGGATACAGAAATAGAAGTGGATGATGTCTTTTGGAATACAAGGATCGTACCAATTTTGCATGAATTAGAAAAGGGTAAAAAAAACAGTTTTTGTTTTAAATCGGAAATATCTGTAGTTATTTATATGTTCCCCATTGCCCTGATATTTTTAGTACACTTTGGCTGTCATTTCTGTGAACATGTTCAAAACCAAATGAAGTCATCTATTTATTTACCCAGTAATGTATGTATTAAATATTACATGGGAACTTAAGTTTTAGTGAGTAAAATTATACTTTCAATGCAGCAAGAGAGACTACTTCTAAAATTCCCCTTGGAATATAAATTAATTATCACCTCCTCTGCCCAACGAAATGCTGATTTGAACTCTCTAGGGTGGCAGTTGACGTAAGAAAGTGAAAGATTAAAACAGCTTTCAGAGCCTCTGAAACTTTGACTAAGTCTCATAGACTGGCATCCTTGGCAGGTGTGCACACGGTTTTCTAGATCCAAATGTATATGTCCTATTTCCCTAAGGTTGAACACACATGTCAAGGATGCCACTCAGAGCAGGAAGTGGCCTGGGATGTGCCCAGCCCTTGTACTCTGGAATGCCCCAGCAGTAGAGGCCCACAATTGATGGGTCTCTGCAAAGGTGACCTATGGAAAGCTTGTCAAGGGAATGGCCTACCACCTTCTCCCCCTTTGCCGCTCCTTGGGGATTCCATTTCTGAAGTTGGAATGGGCTCCTGTGGAGCTACAGTCATGGCTCCAGGACTGACCCCAGTTCCTGGCACACAGCACACAGTAGGCCCTCACTAGGAATTTTGGTATAAGCTCTCCTTGGATGAGCAAACCAGCATGGTAGCCACAGGAAGAGGCCCTAGGAGAAGCAGGGTAAGTGAGTCCTTCCTACCAACCAAATAGGGAAGTCATGCAAAAGACCTCCTTCCTAAAAGCTTCAAATGACCTCACCCCTCCTCATCTCCCTGTTGCTGCTTGGTGGTGTTCATGGTTAATGTGGGAGCCCTGAGCAGGGTTTCCGGTCCTGCTGCTGCCACTAACTAAGCATATGGCTGTGGGGAATCACCTAATCTTTGCACAGTAGTTTTCTCACCTGCCAGGTGAGGGATGGGCATGACTGGGTCATCACCAGAGTCCACTGTGGCTCAAAACCCTGAGAATATGAAGAGGATGACTTTCCCTGTAGAGTCACTAATTTTCACCCTCATGTTAGTGAGCTGGCTTAACTTTGGGCCCTTTATTTTAGGAGATGTGTGCAAAAACTACTGAGAGAGCCATCAGTCTGGGTAAGGGTTAAGGAAAATATACCGGGAAAAACGCAGTGGGGAGAATGGCCAGCAGCCCAAAGGCCTAGCTTGGAGGAGGTCTTCAGCGTGAAGGATTTTAACAGGGTTCTGAGGGTTCTGCCCCCACGGGCACCACCAGAGAAAAGTTAACAGGAGTTTGGGTTTTGAAATGTGGCTGCATCTCCTTTCTTAGAGAATTATTAAACACTGAAGGATGGCACAGATAGCTTTAAGAACAGCCAGTGGTAGCAGGGCTGGGTTACATGACCTTTTGAGGTTCTTTTTCTTTCTTCCTTTTTTTTTTAACTTTTTATTTTGACATAATTTCAGACTTACAGAAAAGCTGCAAGAATATTACGACTATGCTCTTCCCCCAGATTCCCCAAATATTAACATTTTATCACATTTGCTTTACCATTCTCTGTCTCCTTCTTGCTCTCTTTTTCTCTACCCCACCTCCTCACGCACACGGACACATACACGTTGTTTTTTCCTTTCTGAACCATTTGAGAACAAGCTGCTGACATGATGTCCCATATGCCTAAGTACTCTGGCGCGTATTTTTAGAAACAAGGCATTCTGTTACGTATCTGGAAATTACCATACAATACTATACAAACCTTATTCAGATTTTGCCAGCTACCCTAATAACTTCCTTTATAGAAAAAGAAAATCCTGGATCACAAGTTCCACATATTTGTCATGTCTCTTTCATGATCTTGATGCATTTGAGGAGTATGGGCCAATTATTATATAGACTGTCCCACAAATTGGATTTGTCTGTTATTTTCTCACGATCAGGTCCAAGTAAGGTATTTGGGGCAGGTATATGGCATGAGTGGCGCTATGTCCTTCTCAGTGCATTGTATCAGGAGCCACGAGATGCTGATTTGATCCGTTACTGGGGATGTGAACTTTGATCACTTGGGGAAGGCGATGTCTGCCAAGTTTTTCCACTGTAAAGTTACTATTTGTCTGTTTGTAATTAATAAGTATCTTATGGGGAGAAATTACTTTGAGACTATGTTGCTTTCTAGTACTCATCAAAGTTTCACTCACCAGCTTAAGCCCCTGAGACTCGCGATAGTTCTTAGATTCAAGTTGCCTTTGGGGACTATATAGCATTTGTAACAAAACAGCTGGTATAGAGTTAATTTGATCAAGAGTTTAAAATTTGAGGCTTTCTTTTTAATTTCTTTTAAGCTAAAAAAGCTACTCTTGAGTAGAACCCACCAGGCTGAAGAGTTTGTGGAGGGAAGTATTAGAAACATACCTGGAAGACCACCCACTGCCAGAGAGTGGCCCACAGCCTAGACTAGGGATCTGTGAAGAAAGTGCCAGTCACAGAAGAATAAAACAACAAAACAAAAGTGTTTCTCACAATAGAGTTCAAGTTTTCCCCTTTATTTAAAGTTAGTCTAAGTCATTTCCCAACAATTCATTTATTTAAGTGCATAACTGAAAGGCATTGAAGGTTACTTAGCTATTGAGGTTTAAAATTTTTTCTTAGATGTTATTGTTGAAAAGAGCTAAAAATGGCCTGAGTCATTTCCTTCTGCAGGCGCACACTTCCTCTATGTGGGCTTTTAAGAGCAGATTATGGTATTTATTTAAGATTGGTTTCCTACTTTTAATTTTTGTGATGAAGTCTATCAGAGAGAGCATTTTCCAACTGAATACCTTATACCTTGGATTCTTTTATTTCCCTTCATTTTGTGTGCTACTTTTCTTCCTTGTATGCCTATTTGTATGGCTACCACTTTCAAAAATTACTTTCCTCAGAATTATAATTATAAAATAAAATGTCCTAGGTCTCCCCTGTTTCCTAACTAGAGTCTTCTTTTTATTTTCCTCTTTTCTAATAACCATCTCCAAATAATGGTGGATGAGTGACATTTTGAGATTTTGTTCCATATGAGCCCTCTTTTCTCAGATAATGAGCATTATTCTCATAGAAAAATATTGATCATTGTTTTCATCAATAGATATATTGGATAATGAATATGCATTACACTATGTTACAGGTGGTCAGGAAGTCTTCTCATTGTACCGTGCACTATTGCTACAAAGATATGTAAGACATGGTTCCCACTCACTTAGCATGGCATCTATTTGAGGGCCCTGGACATAGAGCTTAGCATACATATATATGTAAAAAGTAACAGTGCAAGGTCTTGTTTGTTGATGTGGAATAGTACCTCTTTTCTGGAGGAGCCAGAATGTAAATAGAACCTCGAAGGACCAAAATCAGTAGGAACAAGGGTCAGGAGAACATTCTCGGCCCGTGGAACTATGCCACAAAGGGTTAAAGGTGGAGATGCAAGTGATATGATTGCCTGAGACTGAACAGAGCACTGGTGGAGGTGGAGGGCCCTTGGAATAAAGGAGACCAACCGAAATAGGTGCAATTCCATTCTTTCATACGCTCTTTGAAAGACTGTGTGTTCTAGATAAGCTAACTGACTGATCAGTAAATAAGTCGACATGGTAGGAGATGGATCAACAAAATGAAAAAAAAATCAAGTAGATGGAAATGATAAGAAAAGGGAAAAGACACAGCTCAGGGATTTGAAGATGTCCAGGAAAATAATCATGGGGTTTTACTTACACTGTGTTTGACACACTTGGAAACTTGACCTTAATTAGTAAGTGCTGCTTTACTCTCTTTGCTCTGACAGAAGAAAACATTGAAACGGTTTGTGCTGCTTGCACACAACTCCATCACGCTTTAGAGGAAGGAAACATGCTGGGAAATAAATTTAAGAGAAGAAGTATTCTCCTGAAGACCCTATATAAACTAGTTGATGTTGGTTCAGACTTGCTCAGCCTTAAACTTGCAAAAATTATTCTAGCAGTAAGTTTTTCTTTCCTCTGGTCTAGTAGACTGTAGCACATAAAAGTTTTGTTTAATGCTTGATTTGTAAATGTTACAAAGAAGATTAGAATGCAGTGTTTGTTTAGAATCTTGAAAAAAAAATTAAGGTAATAATCGGACATCCCAGGATTTAACTAGAAAGTACTATCTAAGGAGCTAAGGCTGAGTATATAAAAAGTGTTCAAATAAACTCTGAAATATGGACTGTGTCATATTAAAAAAAATATGACAATAGGCAAATACATTCAAAACAGTTGCTCAAGTAACTTGACTGGACATCAGTATCAGAGTGCAGGCTGTGGTTTCTGCCTATGGTTTTCTGCTGGGTGCTTGATTCTGTCACATGATTTAATAACTAACTTGAGATAACTTGGGTCATGGACACAATGACCAGGTGCTTCATGAACCAGCGTGAAACAGAGAAACAGCTGCATGTGGTCATGGGAAGGTTGTCATAGAAGGCTCCCGTGAGGGCCTTCTCCCTAGAAGAAAAGGCCAGACACTAAGTAAACGGCTGTAGAAACTCTTTCTCAAACATAATGATCTCATTGTTTGAGGGGAGCACTTTGTTGTCACAAGCCATAAACAGTTGGAACCAAAAGATAAGACACAATTATTATGGAACGTTCTAAGAGAGCCGCTAAAACCAATGAATGAAGCTTTGTTTACCTGGTTTCATAAAAGTAAAAGCTATTATGTTAACACCCATAGCTCATATAATTTAAAATCTTAAAGTACACAGTAAAGGTGTTGGCATACTTACTAATAGTTTAGTAAGAATGCTCACCATTTCTTATTTTGATGTCTTTCAAAAAGCAGAATAGTCTAACACATAGTCTGACTACGTATCCTATGTAATTTTTTGGATAGGCTACATTATTATTTAGCCGTCATCCCAAACTAGTCACCCTCTCTTTAAAAATTGTGATATGTGCCTCAGAAAGCAACATTTCTTTGAAATAGTGATTTCAGTATTATTTTAATCCCCTCTCATTGATAATTGATCAATCAGCTTTAATGAAACAAAAAGAACACAAACCACAGGGAGGATTTAAGTCCAAAGTTGTTAAGTAGAGATGAAAAGATATCTGCATGCTTGCCTAGTTCTCTCTCCAGCCCTGGATTTGGGGGTCCTCCTTGGGCCAGGAGAGCCCCGGTGTGAGGCTGGGGGGGCTCTACCCGTGTAGCTGCCGTGGGCAGGACCCAAGCTGCCAGCTGCTCAGGGATCAATTGCCTTTGGTTTTTCATCAGGATCCTAGACATTTTGTTCCATACCAAACCAAAAAAATAAATAAATAAAAGAGAGAGAGAGAGAGAAAGAAGGAACATGGCATGAATTCAATAATGCTTTGCAGAGAAAATATTATCCTGGTTATTAAAGGTGCCATTCAAATTAATTAAATACATGGCACAATTTAGCTGTTTTAGGGCAAAGGCTAAGTAATCTGCCAGCCAGTGAGCACGTTCTGAACTGAACGTATGATTAGATAAGCCAGCTCTGTGACATTGACTGCTGGGCTAAATCAAGGGCAGGATTCACCAGGCTACACTCCAGCGTGCAGAGATGGGTGGGCTGTCCCTTCCAATTAACCATAGAACCACGAGGTCAGAAGGACCTTCAAGGCCATCAAGTCCAACTTCTCATCTGCCGCCTGAATCTCCTATAATGTTCCAGGCAAGATGACGTTTCCCTTAGGCCTTGGTGATGGGGTTCTCTGTAAGTTTTAAAAGAACCAGGTCATAAAAAGCTGTTGAAAAAAAAAAAATCATCCAAAACTAAAGATATATAGGATGAAGAAGTTTTTGGTAACTTCTCTTCTTTCTGCCAATATTTATTTTATCTATCAGTCTAATATTATAATTCAAATATTTCAAATTATTTATGGTTTAAAAAAATTCAGTGAGCATAACGTTAGTTGTTCTGACTTCTTGCATTCTTTGGTTAAGTGGGGGTTTACCAGATAGCCATTTTAATTTTAACATTTGTATCAAAAAAATCTTACAAAAATATATCAGTCTATGTTAAGAGTTTTTAGAGTACAAACATATATAATCAGTATGAATGCAACTACGTTCAAGAGGGGAAAAGTCTCTAGCACCCTATACGAGGGAAAAAACAGAAAAGAAATAACCAAGATGTCAACAGTGATTGTATATAGTGGTAGTATTATGAGTGTTTTTAAACTTCTCTTTAATTTTCCAAATTTGCTTTAAATAGAAAAGACTACTATTTTTAACCTAAGGAGTAAACTACCCCACTACAAGAGCCTACGTTGTGCCAGGAACTCTGACCCTGGGAATACAAGTGAATAAAATAGCCCCTGCCTTCCAGGCTGGCACTGTAGCTAGAGGGACAGACAATGAAGACATGAGGTGCCCAAGGGGCTGATGAGGACCCTGGGAGCAAAGCAAAGCAGAGTGAAGGGAATGGCGGGTATGGGGAAACGTGCTGTTTTGTATAAGGTAGTCTGCATCCCTTGCATATGATCTAATATTATGTTTTCATGTCTCAAAGTCATAATTTTACACCTATCAAGAGAGAAAGTATAGGAATTTGCTTTGAATGTAAACTGACCTTATAGCAGGCCTGGAAATTGTGGGAGTTTTTTAGTTTTTTTTTTTAATGAAAACTCTGGCACCAGTTTTTTTTTTTTTTCTTTGCCACTTTTCACTAAAATAAGACTTGGGTCAGGGGTGAGGTTAGTTGTATTCATTCATTTATTCAACAAGTTTTGTTAAGTACATAACATACAGTATGAACCACACATAGGAAGAGTAATAAATCATGGCCTTGACCTCAAAGGCTCAGAATGTGGTGGAAGATTGTCAACTGATTAAAATATATTCTCAAATATTAAGGACAGTGCATATTCCCATTGATAGAGAATTTTTTTCTATTTTCTTTAGTCAGCTTATTTTCTGAGTTTTTAAACAATATTTTTTTAAACACTAATCCTTCAAAATTTTTTTAGTTTCCATTTCCTTTCTTCTTCCTGAGAACAGAAGGAAGCTCCATTCTGCCACGTGTGACCATTTCTGAGGCTCCCACAACAGAGCCTCGCAGACTTGCATGTGCACACGGATCCCCTGGGGGGCTTGTTAAAATGCGGATTCTGATTCAGTAAAGCTGGGTGGGGCCTGAGAGTCTGCATTTCTAATACACTCTCAGGTGACACCAAGACTGACCTGTTTGAGGAGTAGACTCCTCAGTTGCAAAACGGGAATGACAACACCTAATTTGCAGGGTTGCTCTGAAACAACATGCAAAGGGCCTAGAGCAGAGGGGCAGACAGAAGCTGCTCCATGGGTAATGCTCCCCGCCCTCTGCCCCTCTAGCATGGGGCTCACCATGTTTGTCTTGGCATCTTCTACAGTGAACAGCACAGTGCCTGGTACACATAGGAGCTCAATCATATTTGTGGCTCAAACACAGAAGGAATCTTTAAAAAATGTGTCTGACAAATTCCATTATCTCTTTTTTTAAACTAACTGAAAACTCATTAGTAAACAATATTGAAGATAATTTTAAAGATACTTTTTAATGATAAAATAATGACCCACATGCCATCTTTTTCACACAGATATACTTATTTGTTCAGATGACCTCATTCCTACAAACACATTTTACACTCTTGCAATGAGTGCACGAAATAGTTCCATCTTACAGCGGGTTATAAATGTCTTTCTTACTTTTTTTTTTTTTGTGTGTGTGTGTGAGGAAGATCAGCCCTGAGCTAACATCTCTTGCCAGTCCTCTTTTTGCTGAGGAAGACTGGCCCTGGGCTAACATCTGTGCCCATCTTTCTCTACTTTATATGGGACGCCTCCGCAAGATGGCTTGATGAGCAGTGCTTTGGTCTGCGCCCAGGATCCAAACCTGCAAACCCCAGGCCACTGAAGCAGAGTGTGTGAACTTAACCACTATGCCACTGGTCCAGCCCCTATAAATTTCTTTCTTTTTAAACGTAGTGTACACAGTTATACTTTTTGTACCAGCATGATATGGATAGTATTGATGTTCCACAATTTATTAAACTCTTCCCTAATATTGGACATTTAGGATGTTTTTTTCTTTTTAATTTTACTACTTTAGATAAATATACAGCTAATTTAGACCATTTGATTCAGTTAGGCCTCCTATCTTTTGTTTTTTTTAAAGTATACTTCCTTATTGCCCCTATGTTTAATTTACAGGACTATTTTTGTATGATTTAGAAGGTGATTTTAAGCTTTGAACATTACTTGTTATTATCTCAAAGTATTCCAGAAATAGCCTTAAAAATAAATATATATGTATTATCTAATCAAAGAATATTAAGTTTTATTTTCTTTTATACAAATGATAAAGAGAATCATAGTTACCCTTTTTTTTTCCTTCACCTCCACTGTGAATTCTTTTCTAAGTTAGTTTTATCTGGAATTTTTGTATCTATCTTCTTTTACTTTTCTGTTTTAAAGCAATTACTCCACTTAATTAAATTTATCAAGATCATTCACCCTTTTTGTCTCGGATACTCTTTGAAAAGTAACTAATAATCTCACATGAGATTTTATGAAGTAAGAAATAATTGGTTATCATTAAAATGTGCTTACTCTAAAGATCATTTGTATTGTATTTACTACAAATGAGCTAACTAGATACCATAGTTGGCAAATATGTGACCTAAACCTTTCAAAGTTGATTTCTCTAGAACTTTCCTTGATGTTTTAAAAATACTCTTGCTGTACTTTTAAAATTGAATGTTTGTGTTAAGAAAAATTATGGCATGTTTTTATTTCCCTCTGCAATAGAAATGTAAGTGTTTTCTTTCTCTGCAGCTTAAAGTGAGTAGAAAGAATCTTCTTAATGTCTGCAAACTTATATTTAAAATTAGCAGGAGTGAGAAGAATGATTCTCTGATTCAAAATGACAGCATTCTGGGTGAGTATCATTCAGTGCTACCATTGAGCAAATGTTGCACTTGAATATGAAAGAAAAGTTTGGAAAACAAAGTTATAATTAATGATAGCTGGAATATTTTATTTTCTAGTGATATGCAGAAGTTATGTGATGCCTATTTTTGCTCTATCCTTCTCTGTGTTTTTCACATTCCATTTAATGTATCCTTTGGAGCCTGGAGGCTAGTCTGCTTTTTTTTGGCTCTTAAGTATTTTTTAGTATTTTAACTTTTTTTTTATTTTTTCTGGAAAATATTTGCTCTGAGCTAACATCTGTTGCCAATCTTCCTCTCTCTTTTTTTTCCTCCCCAAAGCCCCAGTACATAGTTGTATATTCTAGTTGTAAGTCTTTCTAGTTATTTTGTGTGAGCTGCCACCACAGCATGGCTACTGACAGACTGGTGGTGTGGTTCTGTGCCCAGGAACTGAACCCTGGGCCGCCAAAGCGGAGTGCACCAAACTTTAACTGCTAAGCCATCAGGGCTGGCTCATGCTTTTTTTTGTTTTTTTTAATGCCTGTAGTAACATTATGTGACTTTACAAAGTGTTCACTATTTAAAAATTCATTTCCTGGTCTTGGATTTACTATTAGAAAAAACACATTTAATAGTACTTGGCATAATTGAAATTTTTGGTCTTTTGCTGTAGTAGGAATAACTAAAACTTGAAAGACATATATAACTGTTGTAGAAATATGACATCAAAGTGTCTCAAATATAAGGGCTGGCCCGGTAGTGTAGTGGTTAAATTTGCATGCCCCACTTTGGCAGCCCAGGGTTCCCAGGGTTGGATCCTGGGTGTGGACCTACATACCACTCATTAAGCCATGCTGTGTCGGCATCCCACATACAAAATAGAGGAAGATTGGCACAGATGTTAGCTCAGCGACAATCTTCCTCAAACAAAAAGAGGAAGATTTGCAACAGATTTTAGCTCAGGGCCAATCTTCCTCAGGAAAAAAAAAAGTGTCTCAAACATGTAGGTAGAGAAATTTTATTACATTCTAACTATCTAGCTAATAATGACTAATTCTTGATATACTCTTAAATAATTAAGATGCTTAAATTGTTACCTAAATAGGAATCTTTTATGAATTAGTATAGCTGATCTGAGGGAAGGCAGCAACATGGAAAATACTTTGAGTCCCCTTTTTGCAACATAGGATAAATGATCTCATATCTTTTTTTTTTTACCCCAGCAGATAGGGACAAAGCTAGTACTGAAAGAAATGTCTAACACTGAATTAGCTGATTGAGCTAAAAACAAAGGAAGATTCTGACAAATGATCATATTGACATTAATAAAATTAAATGTGAGATAGGCATGATTAACCTTAGAGTTGCCTGGATTACTCCTCAAATCTGGTAGTTGTATGTTATTTGGATGGAGGGTCTTAAGTTGCCTTGGGAAAGGGTGGATATTATATCCAAAGTATTCCTTTCTACAGTGATTGATATTTTTTAAAAGCTCCTATTTTGATTAATTTCCCATTCATACAGCAACCAGTATTTTCTTAAAGGTTTTTTGAAATTTAACTGTTAAATCACTTTGGTTATTAGTTATTCTATAATAACTCAGAATGTTTGTAACCAAAAATAAAGGTTGGTAAATGTTAGTAAGAGGCAAGGAATGGCATTTACTTAGAATATTTTCGGGCCGGCCCTGTGGCTTGGTGGTTAAGTGCGCGCGCTGCAATGCTGGTGGCCCGGGTTCGGATCCCGGGTGCTCATCGAGGCACCACTTCTCCGTCCATCCTGAGGCCGAGTCCCACATACAGCAACTGGAGGGATGTGCAGCTGTGACATACAACTATCTACTGGGGCTTTGGGGGGAAAAAATAAAATAAATAAAATCTTTAAAAAAAAAAAAAAAAGAATATTTTCTTATTTATATATTAGTAATCCCATCCTTTTGCAGTCATTGCTCTCACAGAGACTTGTCTTACTAAAAGGAACTTTTCCTCTTATACCATATGAGTAATCCCTAACAAGCATTTGAATGTAGGTTCTGACTAACATTTTACCAATTGTATTTGATGTTCACATGCAAGTGCTTTAATATATCTCTCTCCAGCTGCTACTCTGATACATTTGTAATAATTTATCTTTTTGGCAGAATCATTACTAGAGGTCCTGAGGACTGAAGACCTACAAACTAACACTGAAGCTTTTTTATACTGTATGGGGACTATAAAATTCATTTCTGGAAATCCAGGATTTCTTAATGAAATGATCAGCAAAGGCACTGTGGAAATATTGATGAATTTGATAAAGCAAATAAATGAGAAAGCCAAGAAATGTGGTACATGCTCACCTAATTCAGGCCACTTGTTAGTTCAAGTAAGTATTTTACTTGAAAAGTTTAGATGTGTCAAATTAGTTTTCATGGTACCTAATAGCAGTTACCTGCCAGGTGGGTGTAACAGGTAACAGGTGGGCTGTTACCTCAGCCAGGTAGGGGTGCCCGGCCTTGGGGATCAAAGGTGGCAGCCACTGATCTTCTGTGTGCCCCTTTCCCTCGGAAAGGCTACTCCATGGCTTTTTACAGAGCGGCTCTCCACACAGCTTGTGGACATTCATTTCCACTACCCTGCAGAGAAAGCCTGGAAGAATGAAAAAGTAACACGTCTCTGCAAAACGATCGCAAGTTATAGTCAGAATTTTGACAGGCAGAGTTTTAACTCTTAGAGTTTTGAAGACAGGCCTAGCCTAGAGATTATTCAGGATAACGGGTAGCTAATGTCATGAATCTTGTATCTGCAATAAAAAGCAGAAATTAATGATACTGCGTGGACAGTCGTTGAGGGGGTCTGTAGATGACATGCAGGCCTGAGACTACAGGAACGAAGGTCACAAAACTGGATACATTTAACATAACCAGGGCAGGAACGAAAAATGTGTCATGTGTTAGAGTTTTATTACTTCTTTTGTGGCAGATTAAATTTCATAGTTAAATTATTTTTATTGGAGCTGCTTCAGCTCTCATATTCTTTTTTAGATGAGATTTTACTCTTTAATAGCATTTGTATATCAGATAATAGCATCTTTCATGTAATAATTCATGAGATTTGAGATGTGCTTGTCAATTAATGAGGATTGATTGAGCACTCAGGGTGCTTGAAGCCTCTGGGAAAGTGTATTAAAAATTAAATTTAGGTCCTGCCTTAAAGATACTTCAAGTCTTTATGATGATTATTAATTTTGAGCTTTGGGGTCTGTCTCCATTTTGAAAAAAGATTATGAAAACCTCTTTTAGTCTTGAATGATTAAAAATTCTACTGGATGTGCCATCTTTTGGCTAGGAAGACTTAGAAACATTATTTTCATGCTGCCAGTGTTATTGAGTTATTCAAATTTTTCCCTCAATGAAATAGTTATTTTGGTTATATAGTTATTATATTTCCTTATTAAAATGCAAAAAAGTATGAGTCTAAAAATCACCTGAAATATTTTCATCCTCAGATAACGCACCTCCAACATTTTAGTAACCATTCTTCCATGCATTTGTTAATGCATATATAAACTTACATATGTATAATTTTATATAATTCTTGCTTTTTATCATGGAACCTCTTATTTTTAATAGTTGTTTTTGCTCGTTTTCCATTACACTCCTCTCTCCTTGCTTCTTCTGGTCTGCCCTCTTAGCCACCGTTGTTGACACTGGTGTGCACAGCACCTCTTAATGCACTCATAGGTTTTCAAAAATGGAATAATCTATGCAATTCTCTTTTCTCCTTTAACAATACATAGTAAAAACCTCTTGAATCAACTCTACATATTCATTTTATTCCTTTTAATGGCAATATAATATTCTGTGATGAGGATACACCTCAAGTTCTCAGTCATTCTTCTATTGAGATATTCAGTGTTTTTAATTTTTATGCAACAGCTTCTGGAATTCTTGTCTGGTTTAAAAAAGCTCTTTCCAACCCATATTATATTATATATTTATATATACATATATAAAATTTATACATTTAAATATAAATTTTGAATATATAAATTTATTTATTAATATTTATATATTTATTTATATATAATATATAAATATATATAAGGTATAAATAAAATATAAATAAAATCAGTCGGTATAAAGGAGGATTGAGTATTATTGTGACCAAAAATATATCAAATCAAGAACTAGGACCTCTGGTATGCCAGTAAGTACAGTGCACTACCCACTGTGTTCCTCTTTTCTTTCCCTTTTTCCTCAGTTCAGCATCCTCAGGTGCAAACTAACTTGCTAGGTCAGATGCCCCTTTCCTTTCCTGACATCCATGCATCCATCCCTCTAGGGTGTTGTGGTGCGGGGCGCTGTAGTAACCTCCTCCTCGCTGCGCTGCCCACCACCACTCAGCAGGCACTGTCGTTATCTGCAAAGCCTTCTCTGAACCTGCCTAGGATCTGGCATGGGTGGGGCTTACACGGCCTGAGGCCTCTTCCTGGAGCACAGGCAGCAGTCCACATCCTGGGAGCCCATCCTTGGTGCCACCTGAAGACATGCTCCTGCTGTGGTCCCCAAGTGCCATTTGCATCAGCTGTACAATGTCACTGTGGTGTGTGTGTTTACGGATTTGGGGAGGAAGGAGATATTGTTTTAGGCTGTGTCATTTGCAGAATCCCCTGAACTGGACATTCCCTCGTATTTAATTAAAACAAAAAAAAGCTGTTTTGTATCATATAAATGATAAAATGTAAGCAACACGACTTCACTACAAGAGCCTGTGAAAATCTCTACTGTTGTGAATGTGTAACTCTGGCTGGTTTTCACCAGCCAGCTCACGTGCAAATTCGACCAAACAGATCTGGCCACGTAGAACAGTTTGTTTACACCAGCTTTCAGAACCTGGTAACTCTGGCTCATGAGGCATTTTTTTAAAGCAACTTTGTTCAATTGAAAAAATAAGTAGATTACTTGTCGTTGTATCGATAAAATAATGTCTGTAAGCCAGAGAGAACATGGCAAAGCAACAAAGATAAAGGCAGGCAACATTGACAGCTGTGGCTTCCTCTCCTTTATGACTTTCAACCCGGAAAACCTCAGTAGCTTTAGCACACTTTCTGGGGTCCTCCTATTGTAAAACTTTGTACATTCTAGCATCGGGCACGGTGCTAGAGTCATCCCGTTTCCCTAAAGCTGCCTTTCTGTTGGAGGCCATTGAATGAGTGGAAAACAGCTGAGGCTGGGCCCTGAAAGTTGTGTAGGATTTGAGAAACTAGCAAAAAGGGAAAAGGATAAGGTGTCTTTGGGGGATGCTAAAGAGGTGGGTCTGTCCAGAGCAGAGAGCTTCTGTGGGGGAGGCTTGGATGGTGAGATCAGAGGCTACGGTCATAGGTCTCGACTACCAGGCTGTGAGTGCGGATTTGGAGCAACAGGGAGCAGTTGGAGGTCAGTGTATGAAGAGGAGGAGATGAGATCAGAGTGGCAGAAAGATGAATGTGCACAAGATATTAAACTGATAAAGACCGAAAAGCTGAAAAGTGACCGGAGGAGAATGTGTCAGTGGGACAGACAGATTGGAGGGCTGAGATCTCATAGGCTGTAGCCCTAATTCAGAGGTGTTGCTGCAGTTACTAGATTTTAGACTCATTATAATGGAGCTAAAGCAATGAGATCACGGAATGGGTGTGAAAGAAAATCTCCTCCACAGCATATGGACTAAGGTTGCTTACTGGGAAAAATACTGAAGTGTTGAGATTTTGCAGGTTTTCTTTGTGTTGTTTCTTACATATATACATGTATATGCGTACATGTATATTTATCACTGCATGGCTGAAATCAAGAGACATTGATTTCACAAGTGTTTATGGAGTGGCTGCTCTGTGCCAGGCATGGTCTGCCTGGAGAGTAAGACAGTAGAGGACAAGACAGCTGCCAGGAGGGGCCTACTTTTTAATGATCCCTGTGTCCAGATAATAGTATTCTGATGACCTATTCTTCTACAAAACTATGGTACTTCTACATGTCCAATGCTGCATTCACTTCCGCCTGTCAGATACTTAATAACATCTTGAGAAGTTGAGAGGATGATTGTTGATGCTCAGAGGAACTGAGGGACCACCATCTGTGCACCAAGTGGAAATATTAATACTCTCAGTATCTGTGTGCCAAGTAGAAGTATTGATACTCCCAGTCTGGCAAAATCCAAGACGTGAGCTTGTCTGTAAAATCATAAGAGTAAAGAAGGTTAAACTGTGCTTATTCACTAAATTCCATAATACTAGAATTTGGGGAGAGCTCCCTGAAACTTAGAAAGAAAAATACAGGCCATCTAAAAGGCAAGGACCCATAAATGCCCATAGTAAATTGCATCACCCAAGGAAGTGACACAGATAGAAATAGGGATTTGTCAATGTTGACCTAGAATGGATTATCAGGAAGTGTTAAAGTTCATCTCTGACTTTTAAAGGCCAACAATTGGGAAGGCATAACACAGGAGCCGAGGAAAATTGCTGACGTCACCTCCATCAGAAAGTCTGTGTGGTCTCCATCATGCCCCCTTTCTGGGGAATGGAGAAGAGTCTTCTGTATATGTCATGATCACAAACAAGCCCAGATTCCCTTGGTGTCTCATTTGTCCTCTTGTGTCTTGAGAACATCGTGTACAAAGCCGCTTTCCTGTAATCGAAGAAAATCTCAAGATACTCACATCGACAGTTAGGTAATTTATAGGTACATAATATAACTACTAAAACCCAGATTGACTTGAGCTAGCATTGCTACTTTTTTGATTCCTTTGTATTTCCAACCTTTTTCTTTACAGCCTGACCCATTTGATTCTGAGTTCAATCCTTAGAGAAATATATTCTTTCCTTGCTTCAGATAGAACACTTTTGAAGTTAATGCTGTTCTGCATCACCCCGGGTAGCATGGTTTCTTTTCCCTCCCCTCCTCTCACACCTATTCCACTTCTCTGCCCTCTAAGCATGCTAGCGTCTCCCCAGGGGGTCCTCCAAATCCTAATCTTTCCCCCTCTTTGCTCAGTACATGCCCAGTGTCAAATTCTTTTTTCTAAAAGGAAGTTTCTCAGTAAGGCCGGTCCCCCACCACTTGTCAGTCCCTGCTCCATTCCTTCACTTTGGCTCTAAAGTCTGGGGAAAAGGAAAGTGAATTAAACAAAGAGAGATGGCTCAGACATTTTAAGCCTGGATGGTTCATAAAATGGTAGTATTATTATCAGAAATTAGAGGGTTATACAGGAACTGATTTGGTGAGAGGGAGGGTGGGAAATGATATAATTAGCTTTCATGTAAAACTTTAAGGTGCCAGCAGAATAGCCAAGTGGGACTGTCCAGTAAGCAGTTGGAAATATGAACTGATGCTTAGCAGAGAAGGT